AATATATAAAAATGTAAAAAATAATTTAATAATCTAATAAATAACAAAAAAAAAATATTTAGATAGGTATTATATGGAATTTTGGAATCTATGTTTGCCTTGCTTTAGCCAATCTTGGCATGCCAACCCAATTGCTCTGGCCGTCAATTCTCCTATAATTGAAACGTTTTTTTCGTGGCCTTGAAAGCATAGTATTGCAGCTTCTGTAAATCATTAAACATTGTTAGTTTTATCGTAAATTTTCGTCGAAAATGACGTTTTGAAAGTGGTTTCGGCATTTTCTATCGTAACCAATGTATATATATATATATATATATATATATATATAATAGGTTTCATACGGGTACCTGAAATAATAATACAAGAAAAATAATACAAGCAAAAGCAAACATTTTTTTAGTTAAAAGACTAATTAATTTATTAAAAGTAAATTAAAAGAGCTCTAGTCGATCCACTTTTCTATTTAATGTTTCATGTATACAAAAATCTTCCTAAGCTAAGAGGGCGCTGGTGTTACGTTTATTGTTTAATTTGTACCGAAACGCTACCAAAACAGCAGACGCTAATACGCATCAACAATCAGCGCCGCTGGAGGTGAAAAAAAAAACTTAATTTGTGCGATTTAGAGGGCAGGTTTTGTCAATTTCCCCTATTGTGTAGGCTTTATGGTTACGTTGTCAAAAATGCCACCAAAAGTTGTCCCCAATCGATGTGTCCGAGCATTTAAAAAAAAAATGCTATCTACTGAAAATGGTGCACCGTTTCATTTTCAGGAACTACCTTTTATCGCGGTAAACACTTTTTATAGGTACCCACCTACATATAGGTATATAGGTATATAGGTATACCTATTTATTATAATAAATCATTTTTCAAAAACGTATATACAGGGTGTCCCATAATTAGCGTGCATTTCACTTTTCTCTCTTGAACGGTTTTAAAGATATTAAATAAAAACCATCTTCAGGGACTCCTCTTTCGGGGGCTGTAGCTCCCTTAGAAAGCATTTCTCGACCAATGTTTATAGGATTTCTTTCTTATTTTTGTAAGTAGAATCTGCCGTTAAAGTATTGCACGCTAATTATGGGACACCCTGTATACCTATACCGCGCGGTCTGTTTGTTGTGTGTATTTAATCGTATATAAAATCAACTATTATTAGACTAACATTATTCGTTTGTATTAACTTTAAATAAACGTTTAATTTCGTTTTATAAAGAAGTGTAAGAATGGTTGAGTATACACCAAGAATATACAAAAACAAACCGCCAGTTAGATACAATAATTTTATATATTTTTAATATTTTAAAATAGTAGGTATAATTATTATACCTACTATCTTAAAATATTAAAAATATATAAAATTAAACTTAAATATGATATTACCAATCATTTGGTCGGTGATGTTCAATTAAAATTAAACGTTTATTTAATGGTACCTAATAAAAATATAGTCTGGCAATTGAATGAAATACTCAAGTAACCCGGGCCGGCGTTATTTTAACACATTAAACTGTTTTATAGGAATTTATACCCACTTTTTATTAAATTATAACATGATACAATAAATAACTACGTATACCTACCTAAATGTACTGCTAGCCTGCTAAACTTTCTGGGGTTAGCTTTACTACGGGAAATAATTTAAAACACATTAACTGAGCACTCTTATATCTTACCTATCAAAATCTGGCACTTCTGGCAGAAAAAAACATTACAAATTTACAATCACCACTGCAATAATGCATGCTTTACCGGGAGACCCCTAGTACTGCGACTGCGCCGACTTCAGCAGCGTCACGTGAATACACAGATGGATTTCATTGGTTAAGGAAAACGAGAAATTGCGGGAGGATCGCAGATTGCCTATATTTTGTTAAACGTTGATTTGATTTAAAAAATATGGTATAATAAATGTTTACCGTACCCCAAAATTAAAGAAGATTTATGTAAAATTGAGATATTTTAGGTGGAACGAACACCAAATGTTTTACACTTTATTAGACGTTTATGCAAACTTCGATAAAGTAATATAAATTAAAGTATACGCCAAATAAATCAAATAGTATTATAAATTAAATTAGGATTCCGTATAATTTTGGTCAATGTGATACAAAAACACTTGAATGGTACAAAATACATAAAAAGGTTTAACATTTAAAACAAAATAGTGTACCATAAACGTATAATACACACTTTACTGCATATATGCATATATCCATTGAACATACACGTTTATTTAATATACCAAAATAAACAAATAACCAAAAATATGGTTTAATACACGTTTATTATCTGATAACGGTTGATTGAGTGTTGCTTGGGTATTTATAACTATACACTTGCAGGCAGCAATATAGTGTTTTCTTACTTTGTTTGTAAATATGAATTTCTCACTTTCTTGAATCTTGCAAGCATCCAATTCATCAGTAACGGTAGAACCGAGGATCGCGGGGTAATTTTCCAGTGATAATAAAATGTTAATGTCAAATATTTCCGAGTTATATATATTTTTTATGTCTTTTACAATTTCATTTTTACAAAATTTTATGCTAAGATTTAAAAACAAGTGCTTAATTTCATCATAAATAAGATGAATTAACGGACGATTTTCTTGAAACAAATTTTGTAAAGCAGCTAGCACTAGATGATACAAACATGATTTGTGCACATAACTTTTAATCAGTTAAATACTCTTTGATAGTTTTATAATTTTTAGTTTTTGTAGTATCTTTACAATCTATTGGTATAAATTTTAAGAAATATTTTATTACAGCTGGCATTTGTTCCAATAGCCTGTCTGCAGCTGGACCAAGTGTTAACCATCGAGAAGGAACATGGTTGACAAACTCATGTTTGGATACATTCATTTTTGTTTGGCATTTTTGACAATCTAAATATCTGGAAGGACGGTCTTTAAAAAAATATTTTATAGAAATGATTAAATTTGCTACATTTTGACCAAACTCATGTAAGCCTTTAAAAAATGCATTGTTTATAACATGTAAATTACATTTTGCGATTGTAATCAGACCTGAAGTTCTGAGTTTAATTAACTCTGAATTTATCATTCTCTGAACTCTCTTGTTAACATAACATCCATCGCTTTCTAACATAAGTAAATAATCTGTAATCAATTTACTTTTTTTCATAGCCTCAAAAATGTGCTCTACCAAGTCCTTTGCTCGGGCATGTTGTAGAAAAGTAGATCGTAAGTAGTAGAACATAATTTTAATTTGTAATTTCTTTTGAGAATAAAAGTTCACAGTTTCATCATACAATAATGTATAATAACCTAAAAAAATTTATCAATATGCTAGTAATTTTATTTTAAATAAAATAACCTGTAACATCTTCAATTAATTGTTCCCGAAAGTAAGGCGCCAACGCATGTGAAGTGACGTAGATAATTTTTTTGGGAGATTCCACGTTTGGGAAAATACATAGCAGAAGTTTAAACCTTTGATGGATTCGAATGATTGGTTTTTGCTTATTATTCGTAAGGACCACATTAATTCAGCTCTTGCAGCATCCTTTTTTGAAGTAATCAGGGATATTGTTGTTTTTGTCTCTCACAAGGGGAAGTTGGTTTTCTTCCAATTTGATTCGATATTGTTGTTGATGGTAAACAGATCTTGCATGTTGATTAACAGAGAACCTTCCTCTAATTATTTTAACCTCTTTACTGCAACAAATGCAAAAAATCATCCTTGCATATATTGGTCCAGCTTTTAATTAGATGGCCATTTCCGTCTTTCTCGTTGAAATATTTGCTAGAGATCGCCTGCTGTAAAATAAACCTCTGTTAAAAATTCACTGGGCCTGCCTTCCTTAAGCATTTACTGCATTTTTTGTGTAAAAATTACGTATCTATATAAAATTACAAACACATAACCAAATAATCCGCCGGAGGCGCGAAACAAATTAACCATATGCATGGAATGCGGTCAGGCCTACCATTTGTTTAAAAAATACCCAAATTTGGTTCCAAAATAATTATTTTCTAAATTTTCCGCCTAAATCTGTTCTATAATTGTCATTTATTCACTTTATTATTTGAGTAGTTTTCAGTTTCTGAAAACTACTTAAATATTAAAGTGAATTGTTGGTGTAATTATTATTTTAGATAATTAATTATATACAACAATTTTTATTAAAAAAATAATAGTTTTTAATTGATATTGCTAAATTGTTTTAGAAAGAATACCAAATTAGCTTACTTACCTCGGTTAAGTGTTGGATTTTTTAAGGCAAAAACACTATTTGTATGTGTGTTATATCATTAATCGGAAAAAGAAAAAATAATTTTTTTTTAAATTTTATTTATTAAACAATTTTCAAATCATAAAACTTGCAATTTTGAAAAACGATGCTGCAAAAAAACAACAATAGTATTACATTTTAATATATTTAATAATTATTTACCCTTTTCTTTCCGTTTTTTCTTTTTCTTCTAATTTTTGATTATTCAACCTTTTGTTCTTTTTAATTTTTTTTATATTAAATACATATTTTAATTATTTTAATAAAGTATGTATACATATAATAATTATAATTTGAATAAGTTTACCTTTTTAGGTCACATTGATATCTTTACGGGTGCCTCTAACCCACCATTCATTTTTAAACAAAATTCTTTTTTTTAGGTTATTAATTAGTTCAATAACATTACTGGCTAAAATTTAATTTTTAAAATAAAAAATAAATAAGGTTGTTTTTCTTACTCAGAAAGTCTAATTGCCCCCATCTCAATTTTAGTTTTTCTGTTATAATCTGAAAAAGTTAAAAAATTATAATAATTTTATGTCATTTTTTATGGTTTGTCGTATATCATATACATATGTAATATTACTTTTGCTTGATGGGGCTGATGGAGGCTAGATGAAGACCCTGGACGCCCCGTCTGATGAAGGTCTGATAAAGACCCTGACCGGGGGGGGATTCTCCTGGTCTTCATCTTGGGGCTGATGGAGGCTAGATGAAGATTCTGATCGGGGGGATTAACCTGGCCTTAAGGCCATGAATTCATATTGGAGAAGCATCTTCTCCATTTCTTCTTCGTTCATCTAAAATTAACTTTAGTTAATAATTGTTCTTTGTTTCAACATTTATTTTTATCTTACAGTGGTTGCGAAAGGGTTATTGTTCATATCTAATAAAATAAAATTTATATTTTAGTATTTTATATAAATTTTTAATATTTGTAAATTTAATGAAAAATAAATAAATAAAGTAAATAATTTTAAAGGTAAATTTATTTTACAAAATAAATGGTTTTAAACAATTATTAAACTTATTTTGCCCTTTAAATACTCTAAGAATTACATTAAAATAAAATAAATGGTTCCATTTGAAAATTATTTATTTAGATATTTTTTTTAATTCCTTTTAAATATTTTTTAATTTTACTACTACTATTTATATTAAAATAATAATATCTAATAATAAAATAAAGTTTTGAGTTTAATTGTTTAAAAATTTGTGAACTATCAGTTTCACTCGATCAGTGCAATCCTAAAGTTTTTGTGCTTTCCTTGTTACTCATATTGACTACATAAGAATCCCTTGAAACATTTTCTAATGCAATCGTGATTTTTGAACTATTGAAGTCCATTTTCGTAACTTGAAACAACCAGACTCCAACACATTTGAAACCTTCAAACATAAACCGATAGCTTTCTCGACCGAATTGGCACCACTTATTAGGTCGTCTACATAGAAATCATGTTTAATTGTATTAGAAACAATATGATTTCAACTATTACAGACCATATCTAGACGATAACCACTTCTTATAGCCAAAAACGAAGCAGCTGCCGTTCCATATGTTTTAGTTTTTAGTTTAAAAGTTTGCACTGGTTTCGACGGATCAGTGCGGCATAGTATTTTTTTGAAGATTTTATTGATTGGGATTTATTTAAACATTTTCTCAATATCGGCACAAAACGCTTAATTGTGTTTACCGAAACGAATTAAGAATAAATTCTCCTGTATACTACTATTTACCATTTGCAAGCTGTTATTTGAAAAACCTGAATTAATTTTATTAATAGAGCAATTTTTAATCTCCCAGAGTTGATTTTTAATTGCAATATTTTTTGTAAAATTATATTGAATAAATTTTCTTGGCAAATAACCAACCAAAACGAGTTTTTTTGTAAAAATAGGATCGTTATTATTTAGCTTTATTTGGCCTACACAAATAATTTCCTAAAACAAATCTGCGCCTAGAATTTTATTTGGTTCATCGTAATTGGGATCCGCAAGAAAGATATTTTTCGGTATGGATAAATTGGTTATATTCAAATTAGGTAAATCTCCAGTAATATTAGAAATTACAAGGCACGAAATTTTAGTTGGAAATTTTTTGTTGGAAGATATTTCTACTTGACACCTACTGTTTTATTAGTCTTTAGCAAATCACAAAATTTTGTTGCTATAAAACTTGCGCATGAGTTTTGCCATGTCTAAAACCTTTAAGATTGCAATTGACAATAAAACTTGACTTCCTAGATTAATGTTTTTTGACGATAAAGTTACGGCTTCTTGTTTAACGTCACTTTTCAATTTAGTTGATTCTTGTTTTTGTATATGCATATGCATATGTATATTCCTTTTTTCCTTTTTATATTAACAAATGATCGAGAATTGACAGGATTTGAATCTTTGTAAGATCTTTTAGTTTAATTGTTAAATTCAATAGTTTCTAACAAATCAGCCCTGCTTTTCAAAATCATCGAGTGTAGGTGTATTTTTTCTTTTCTTTGTTTTCACTCGCGAGACGTAGTCGAGTCTAATTTAGTAAAAATCAAATAAATTAACAAAGTTCATTGCTCTACTTGAATGTATGAACGACTTAAAAGCGTCCCTAAATTCTTACCATGACTGATAATCACCCTCAAATTTAGGCAATTGAATTGTAGGCAGTTTAATACTCTGATGGCTCATCGACAAATCACCCGAGATACTTTTATCCCTTTTACCTTGTGTATCTTAAATTATTGGTTGTGTCACATTAGCTTTGCTCAAAATGCTCAAAAAAACAAGTTAAAAGATTGAAATCGAGGAAATAAAGGCTACATCAAATAAACCAACAGACGGGAGATTTCCTAGGACAGACGAAGACAGATAGTTTGTTCTTTTTGTTTCTAACCTTACACGTTGACCAAACCAATAATTGCTGTAAAGAATCGACGCCGTTGCCCACGGCGTTTTCTATAAGAGATTCCGATAAATTATCTTTTTTATTACATTGAACGAATCTGGTAATAGTTTTACTCAATTTAAGTACTATTACTTTTTTTACTACAAGTTTTACTCAATTTAAGTACTAATACTTTTTTTACATAATCTTTTTATTTCTGTAAAATTCAAAAAAAATTTATACAATTTTATAAAATATTATACAATTAAAAATTTTCCTTTAGTACAGCTAATGACGTAGAAATTGTTTTAACAATTATTTAAACAAAAAATAAAAAAATCGTAGTTACGCATGTGCACTTAAGTATGATTTAGTATAAGGTTACCATTTTTTTGTAAGCCAATACAGGACACGTAACTCAACTCTCGAAATCAACAAATATTTATTAACCCAAAATTAACAAAAAAAAACCGTTTTATTTACAAGTAAATATATAAAAACTAACAAACTTAAACACACTTTAAGAAAAGCAATAACATATTTTGCTCTTTTATACATATTTTTGAGAACTATGAATTTTTTTTAATAACTCAACATTTTTTGTTATATCTTTATAAAAATTTTCACAGGAACTTTCCACATTGCACGTTAACACCAACATGGACTTTAGGGTTTCTATCGACAGTTGAGATTTTTCACTCGTCCAATATCTGTTCATATAGGTAAAAATCCGTTCAGTGGGTGAGTTTGTGCCGGGAAGGCACAAAAAAAATTCTACAACTCTTAGGATATTCCTGTAGGGTATATTTTCATTTTCTAAATGATCAAAAATTTCGACCCACTTTTGGCCAATGGTTGTTTTATGTTCGCGCCAGTAAATTAACTTTTCTTTCGAAACAAATTGTTTTATATAAATGACTTCATCAAAAAGCTCGCTTTCATTAATAGAATCAGCGGATAAATATTCAGACTCTATTAACGAGGTTAACCCGTTCTGAATTTCTTCCCAGGTAATTTCTTTTCGTAGCAAAACCCATTTTAAACCTTCAACAGGTAAAAAATGAATCGACCACCATTTTGGTAAAACATTTTTACATGGCTTTCAAACCATTGCCTGTTTATGTCTCCATTTTCCTCCTAAGCACTTAGTTCATTTTTTATAATTATGGGTAAAAACGTTTTGCTCCCTCTATCTTTTAATTTTTCTTTTAAATTATTAATTTCATTTGCCACTTCTATCATTGTAATTTGATCTGCTTCTATTATATTAATAGATAAAGAGAATAGAAAAGCTTGATTGTGGACAAACTTAAGTCAAATTTCTGATATAGGGGATTCAAAAAAAGATTTTAAAACATTGGGTCATTTTTCTATAGATAAAAAGTAAGATTTGAATGGATTATATATTTTAAGTATTCTTTCTACGGCGGGTAAAAGAGCTAACCAACGTGTTTTACTATATCCCAAGAGTTTTTGGTAAGTAATACCAGCATCTTCGCAAAATTGTTTAAGACTATCCACTCTAACAGTATAAATATAGAAATGAGAATACACTTTTATTACTAAATTCTCTATATCCAGCGGCATTAAATCACAACTTGTTTGTATTGTATTATGAACTATATGCGCTGCGCAGCCACTGCCCATTATTTCTTTGTGTAATTTATTTTTTAATCTTGCAAGGATGTTGTTGGTACCTTTTCTTGAAAGCCCCCCAAAGTTGGTATTTGCGTTATCAGCACAAAATGCTACAAATTTACTTTGTAAGTCATATTCTTTGACTAATTTTAAAATTGAATTAGATATCTGTTCTGAAGTTTCCCCTGGTAATGAAAAAAAATCTAATAATTTTGTTTGTATGCCTTTTTTCTTATCGAAATATCTTACTAATATTGGAAATAATTTAATGTTCTTATGATTAGAGGCATCTGAAAATAATGTAACATAATGCACAGAACCTAACTGGTTTTTAAGTTTAGATATATAAAAAGGTGCCAACACGTTTTTAGTTATTGCCTCTGCTTTTGTGCGTTTACATGCAAACTTTTTTTCGTATAGGGTTTGAATTAAGTTTGATGTACAATCCAAGGATCTATAACTATGATTGTGTATTATCGTGTGGTATACAAACAAAGCTTCAGATGCCGCAACTTTAAGCTCTTCACTACCCGCTACTCCTTATGAAAAAAAGAGTTTATGGTTGATGAAGAAGCTGCCGCTGCTATAATTTTGAAATACCTACCAAATGTATAAAATATAGAACTTACTGTAAGTTACAATTGTTTAAACTTGCCCAGTTTTAACAATAAATTGGTAAAAATCACAATACACTTACTATAAATATGTTTATACGGTATAAATAAACTATCACTTATAAATATTTGTTATAATCTATATCAGACGCAGTGTGCATACTTTGTACATATGACGCTTGAGAAGATATTTCAACTGCGTAATACGCAGTGTGCGTACGTGCCGCGTACCCTAGCGTCATCTAACATTACTGAATCAAAGTTGTACAACTTTGGTTCAGTAATGGGGTTTGTTCTGTTCAGTAATGTTAGAAGACGCTAGGGTACGCGGCGCGTACCAAGGATTTTACACAAAATCCTTAGGCGCGTACTACGAGCAGCTTTAAATTAGAGAAAGGAAGTTTAATTATTTACACTAAATATAATGTAAGTATTTACAGGTAAAATACAGGACATTTTACAGGACGCCCACAATACAGGACAGAGGGTAAAAAGAAAGGACAGTCCTGTACAATACAGGACGTATGGTCAGCTTAATTTAGTACTTTGACCACTGAATAGAGGAAGGCAGAAGTCGCACTTCCCAGATTTCGTGTCAAAAAGTTAACATAGCGCAGCCGTGTCGCCCACGCTGTTTGAAGTAGGTCAATCACCTATCGTCTGTGGCATTTTTTATATAATTATTTATTATGTATCAATTTTTATAAACGCCATTTTAGTTACGAGGTTTATTAAGCACGAGCGAAGCTTGCAAGCGAGTGTTTAATAAAAAAGAGTGTCTAGATAAGTTCATAAAACGAGTTGCATATAGGGATGTTACAGTGGAACTGGACCGGCTACTTTGGAATAGGTATCAACTGCCTATTCCGCGAACCTATTCCCAAACATTGGAACCTATTCCGGCCTTTCCTATTTCGAGTCCTCTTACAGCCGTCACGATGTCGCTTAGTTAGTTTGTTTTCTATGGTTTACCGTTTACTGGAATAGGTTTCAGTGCAATATACATAGATATTCTTTTCACAATGCCGGTGACGCGTCACCGCTATGACAGTGAATACCGATTGGAACCGCAGTAGGTATTTTCGTTGTCGGTTGCCGCGTTATTTTACTTTATAGCACATGAATCATGGTTTGCTTGATTAGGTACGGTACGTTTCATTTATTATTAATTAATTATCAAATTATGGCTACTGATGAGACTAATAAATAAAGTACAAGAGAAATATGAATAGGATCTTTTTATTTTTTTAGCAAAAAAAAAACAATAAATAAAAGAGTACCTATCCAAATATATTACATATTACTATTAGTATAAAAAACTGAAATAAATATTTTAAAAAAATAACAAAAATTAAAATCTACTATTTGGTTTTCGTTACATATCACTAATTAAAATTAGGTACATCTAAAAAAAATATATTTATAAAAAATTAGTTAACTAAAACTAAATATGCGTTCTTTGTAATGGAACAAAATTTATATGAAATTCATATAGACGAAATAATAATCTTTGGATGTTGTTTTTACACTAGTTTCGAATTATCTAATTTTTATTTACAAAATTTGGCGTTGTAATTTAAAAATAACAACATTTGTACGTGTTTTGATTTAAGGCGGCGGCGACGATTACTTAAGATTTCGCCTGCTTTCGAAAATAAACTTTCACAGGGCACCGAAGTAGCGACAGCACATAACTTTTTTTTAATTAATAAACTTAAATTAGGGTAAATATACTTATGTTCTCTCCACCACACTAAGGGATCTTTTTTTCGATCTAAGATTTCTTCCTCCATGTATCTCTGTACTTCTATAATTGCTTTTGAAGTCGTGCTTTTAATTGGCTTTCTATATCCTTCTTGAGTAGCTATATTATCTATTGAGGTCCATATTGAAAATTTCTGTTTTTTCGGCTCAGGTTCATCGCTTGTCGCTTCATTTTTTTCTGAATCAGGTTGTCTAGGTTCGGCTTCTTTTTTTGAAATTTCTTCGGCCAACTCTGCAATAACATTTTTCTTTACTCTTTCCAATGCGTCATTGTTTTTAAACGGTAATGTTTTGAAACGAGGATCTAAGAAAGTTGTGACGGCAAGCGTTTTACTATATTCTATATTTCCCAATCTATTTTTAAGGCCATTTTGTAGTTTTTTTATAACTGCCACTGCAGAAGAATTAATTTCTAATTTTAAAAGTTCCTGGCAAACATCTAGAAGCCCTCCTGTAATAACTATTACTAATGAAGAAACAAGATATTGCTGCCCACTTATTGCGCGGGTAGCATCTTCAAATGGCTCCAAAATTGTTTTTAATTGCTTTAGTATACACCATTCATGAAGATTAAGTTGTGGTAAGGCAGCATCTAATAAGGCAACAGTACTACGAACAGCCTCTTCCAATTCCACAAATCTCTCTATCATATAGAAGGTGGAATTCCACCTTGTCACCACATCCTGAAGAAGTTTCTTGGGGATTTTATTGCCGGAATTTTCTTGAAAACTTATTAGTTTTGCTGTAGCTTTAGAACTTTGTTTAAAATGGGTAACTATAGTTTTAACTTTTCCTATAATTTCAGTTATCTCAGGCTGAGCTTTTAGTGCATCGTTAACGATAAGATTTAATGTGTGCGCGTAGCACCCAAAAAACTTCCACTCTGTTCCATTTTTTATTGCACTAGTAATATTTGCCGCATTGTCGGAAACCGCCAGCACAATTTTTTGACGAACACCCCATTCTTCAGTTATATTGTTAAGATCGGCACTTAAATTAGCCCTGGTGTGACTTACATTAAAAACCGCACATTTAAGAAGCATTGTCTGAAGTTTAAAATCATCATCAATAAAATGAATTGTAACCCCCATAAAACTTTCATTATTGCCAGATGTCCAACAATCTGTGGTTAAAGAAACCGCTTGAACCTCCTTTATTTTTTCTTTGCACGCCTGCAAGCATTCTTCATAAAAGCTTGTCACGAACGTTCTTGAAATAACTTGTCTGCTTGGAATATCGTAAGAGGAATTTAAAGCTTTTGTATATTGTCGAAACCCTTCGTCCTGAACAACGCTAAATGGTTGAAAATCTTTATAAAATAGCATTAATAGCGCCTCATCAATTTTTTTCTTTGAAATGCCGGTTATTTTTTTTTGGATAAATGAAGAAACCTTTGTTTGAGTTTTAAATGTTGTTTTTAAACCTACATTACTATGGCTTCTGGAAGTAGTGGCAATACTGGCCAAAGCTTCCAAATCAACCTGAAAGAAACGTATATGTTATTATAATAATCTTACAAGACTTTTTTTACGATGCTCGAGCCGTTTCCAATAAAAATAATAATAATTATTTTATAGTCTATAAAGTACTCAAATATAATAAATCTATGCTATAGCTTGAAATAAGTTTTTGCCAGAAACTTTTTTTGAATGACTGCTACATACGCTCTCTATCAATATATTTATGTTAAAAATAAATAAATTTTACTTACTTGTGATGGAGTGGTCGTTAATTTGGCGGGTACAACTTCTATTGTAGAAGTGCTTTCTGCTGGAACATTATCATTGAACGGCGGGTCATTTGTTCTGTCTACATTTTCGTGGACTAATTGCACCATAGGATGTCTTTTTATTAAATGTTTTTTTAAATTTGAAACTGTAGTTTTATACGACATTGGTGTTTTACACATATTGCATTTTGCAATGTGTTTCTTTTCATCTAATATGGAAAAGAAATTCCACACTAAACTTGTGCGCCTATTCATATTAATATTATCAAGAATAAAGTTAGTCGCAACCTCAAAGCCCGGCATCGACATCAAGTAACTAAAATTTAGTTAGGTACTAAATGTCAATAATCCTTTGTATTTGTAATACAAGTTTAGTGTAGTTTAAACCTGTTGCGGCGTTGCGAGAGTCAGCTGATTATGTTTACCCAGCTCCAGCGAGAATGGCCGCAGCCGCGCATTTGGGTCGGAATAGTCAGGAACCGGAATAGGTATCTGGAATAGGTTCGCGTTGGGAACTGGTACAGGTCAAACTAGGTACAAGAAAAAGCTATTCCGTAACATCTCTAGTTGCATACTGTACTTTATCTACGACGAACACAAAGAAGAATTTAAAGCCAATTTTATTTGTTAAACATTTGATATCTGTCAAATGTCAACGGAATTAACCTCACTTTTCTCTACTTTATAATAAAGCTAACTTCAGCCCGTGACTAAAATGCCCAAAAGCCACTATTGCTAACTTCAGCCTGTGACTAAAACGCCATAAAGTCACAGCTTGTCAATATAGGAGTAGACAATAGTATATATATATCATGTATCAAGTGTGATAAACGCCGTTTTAGTCAAGAATTTTAATCATGCACGAGCGAGCTTGCAAGCGAGTGTTTAAATAAAATGAGTGTCCAGAAAAGTTTATAAACGAGTTGCATACTATACTATAATATTCTATTAAATTATTTGTATGGAGCGACATCTATCTACAAGTGGCTTTCAAAAAACAACGTTTAGATCCTCGAGTTCCATCCGCTCCCTCCCACCCAGTTTTTTTATTATTTAAATAATATTAAGACTTGTTGTCATATAGGCCGGCAAAGATGTCCGCGCATCTATATATATATGGTTATAACCATTTCTTGCTACCTCACAGCAAATTTTTAATGCAGCTTCTGTTACAAGCTTCACAAACTTTTTCACCGCTTGCGTGTGAAAGGGAAACTTGCCGAACCTTATACGAGGGTTGCCTTTTATATTTCGGGAATAGAGAAAACAAACAACAATTAATCATCGTACATGGCTTTATTGTTTTTTAAAATATTCTTTATGAAGATCGACACACTTTTGCATGCACTTGAACCAATTTTCGAAGCATTTTTTTCACTCCAATTGAGGCACCTCCAAAACATGCATTTTGAACGCATCAACCGCTTCTAAAGACCCACACAGTCGACTGCTGTTTACTTTCAGGTTCATACGCATAGATCCATGATTCGTCACCTGATACAATGTCATGAACATGTTTTGAAGCACCGCCATCGTATTTTTTAAGCATTTCTTTTGACCACTAGACCCGAGACCTTTTTTGATCGATTCTCAAATTATGTGGGATCCAAAGGTAACAATTTTTTCTGAAGGCCAAATGTTCATTTAATATTGAATGTATGCTGGTCCCACTAATGCCCAAGGATGACCCAATCTCACGATATGTCACATGATGATCTTGCATTACCCGTTCACGCACAGCATCAATATTTTTTGCAAGAACGAGTGATTTTGGACGACCTTCACGAAATTCGTCGGTGAGCGAACCACTGCCACGATTAAATTCGGAACACCACCGATATTCACTTGTTTTTTATGGCACTTTGTCGCCAAAAGTCAAATTAAGTTCATCGATGCATTATTGTTGGGATAATCCACGTTAAAGTTGTAAAAATTATAGCACGAAAATGTTCACGGGTCAATTCCATTTTTTTGGCCGACATTAATTTTTCAAGTGACTGTTAATAATACTAATTGCGCCCGCACGTCAAAACGTGTTAAGTAAGAACACCGTCTAAAAGGTCGAACTTAACGATACAGACATCTGTTGTCCGATAGCATCAGCAGGTTCGGCCATTCCCGAAATATAAAAGGCAACCCTCGTATAGAAGTCGTCTGCTTGACTTATAAATATTTTTAGTTCTTTTATTTTAAAAAAACATTTCCAAATTTATAAACATTTTTAACCCTAGAATTTGCTAAACCGCCAAATTTTTTACGTCAAACTCTAATATTGGACATTTTTTTGTAAAAATATTGTCAACATAAGGTAACTTTTTGTGGCTACCCCAATTAATATATAAAAAAAAATGTTGGGCCCCCGGGGCAACCCGTAAATATTGGGCTAGTACGCTAATTTTTTTTCTACAATTATTGTCAACATAATGTAACTTTTTGTTGCCACCCCAAACAAAATATAAAAAAATAATATTTTGGGCCCCCAGGGGGACCCTTAAATATTGGGCTAGTATGCTAATTTTTTTTTACAAACTACCTTTGGCATAAGGAAACTTTTTTGGCACCCCTAAATTGAATTCAAAAAATAATTTTTTCGGCCCACCCTAATGTTTATGTACCGGACCAGTACAGTGAAGTTATTAGAAACGCTAGCCCTAAAAACACAGTACTGACCGACATGACCTACATGTAAAAAGAGACACTAAATGAAGCTGACCCTTTCATGAAAGTAAATGTTTTGAAAACAGGAAGTAGGAAAGTTGCCAGATAAGAAGTTACCATGACGAGAATAGAATGAAAAAGGGGCCCGTCCGAAGCAAAAGTAGAAAACTTGCAAGAACAGCTAATGTATGTCAAGGAAGAGTATCGTTGGTTTTTTGAAGAGTTTTTGCCTGAGAATCATAAGAAACCTAAAAATAAGAAAACAAAAACTATCTGAGTTTTTTTATATCACTTGTGTAATATATGTTCTATCATAAACAATCCGTAAACCTTTCCTTTAGTACATTACTGCATACAGTTTAATTATTTATACAAAAGTTCCAATCAATAATCTTTTAACCTTAATTTCCCAAAACTAGACTTTATTGACATAGCACCTTTATCCACTCAAAGCTTCAATTATTGCTTCAGTGTCAGTGTGTCAAATGTTTTTCTATAAAAATGGAAATGGAAAGTAAAGATATTTTTATGAGCACTCCACCCGAAATTATATAAGCAGCCGCATCCGCAACAACTAGTTTACTGCCGGAGAATTCGAAACATCAGTACGAACGTACTATAAACTTTTTTAAGATTGGCGTCAAGAAAGACAAACAAATTCATTGTCTAAAAATTTGTTACTTGCTTATTTTCAAGATTTTTCATCATCATCATCAGCGACAATTTTAGTCGACTCGGGTGCAAATATTACATCTTTAAAGCGCCATGGAGGATGGCATTCAACAACTGTTGCGGAAGGATATATCGACTACTCTTTAAACAATAAAGCTGATACAGCCAATACAATCTTTAATAATGTTAAAAATACTAATGTGCAAGAAAATTCTGAGAATATTGAAGTTGTTGAAAGTTTAAATTATGAAGTTAATGAAATTGAAACTGAAACCAGTAATTTTAACATAAATACAATTCCACAAAATTTAAAAGAACCGATAGTTTATTTTTTGCATTGTGGAAATATATCCAATATAACGATAAATATAAATTTCACTAAATAATGTTTATCAACAAAAGTAATTAAAAGTGCGTTCGAAGTAATCGCAAACAGATTTTTAGACGTAATACTCACTAGCGGAAGGAGAATTTTCAGCGAAATGGAAATCATCTGTAACAGTACCTGTGTAGACCCATTAACGTAGTGCCGGTTTATGAGGAAATTTAAGAAAAGACCAACTACTCAGCTTCTGTGATAAAACAATGTGTTAGTATCAAATCAATCAGGTTTTCGTGTCGGTCATTCATGTGAATCAGTATTAATGCAGATCTGTGATACTTGGATTAAGAGTATAGACAAAAATTTAGTTATACTGGCAGTGTTCCTAGACTTTAAAAGAGCTTTCGAGATAATTGACAGACAGTTGTAAGTTAATTAATGGATCTGTGATAAATTGGTTTAAGAATTATTTAAGTGATAGGTACCAGATAACTAAATATAATGGATTATTATCCAATAAAACTAAAACAGAACATGGAGTTCCCCAGGGAACTGTCCTTGGACCAATATTATTTACTTTATTTATAAATGATATTGTAAAAAGTGTGAGCTATGTTGATGATACCATGTTGTACATAATAGGAAATGATATTGAGGATATGGTAAAAAAAATAACTCAGATTTAAAGCAAATTTATTCATGGCTTTGTGGAAATAAACTATCCTTAAATGTAAACAAAACTAAAGGTATTTTATTTGGAAACAGAAACAAGAAATCACAAATTAACAGAAACGAATTGAAAGTTGACATAAATAATACTCCAATTGACTTTGCAAGGGAAATAAAGTGCCTAGGTGTTTTGTTGGACGAAAACTTACATTTTAAAAGCCATTCATTGTATATAATGAACAAAATGTCAAGGAAATTTAACTAGAATTGCTAAAAATTTTGAGCACATTTACAAAGCTTCAACTGTACAAATCAATTATAGCACCCCATATTGACTTTTGCTCAACAATATTGTTTAATTTATCGGCATACAGAATACAAGAATCGCAGTGTGTACAAAATAGATGTATGAGGACTATATTGAAATGTAATAGATATACCCCTAAAAAGATAATGTTGTCCTAAATTTAATGAGTGTAAAACAAAGATATAATGTACAATACATATTTATTTATATTTAAAGTTGTTATCTAATTATTTATACAATGAACTAGAATTTGTGTCAAACCCATATAATACTAGAAACTGTGCAAATTTTGATGTGGAACTATATCGTACAACGCAAATGAGTCAATCTATATTTTAAATTGGTTTAATACATTTTAATAGACTACCGTATTCAATTAAACAATGTAAGAATTTAAAGCCCTTTAAAAATCTAAAAAAAAACATGTCTTTGATTCCAATAGTATAGGTTATTGTAATTGTATCCGTTGTGTTTTGTATTTATATTTTAAATTTAATGTACCGGGCTCTTGTTAATACTGTTGTTTTTTAATTGCTGTATTTATGTTCTATT